ACAACCCACGTTATATGTGTCATTAAAATAGACATTTTCGTAGATATTGAACTAGTGTGATAGGCAAGGGAAAAAACTTTCATGAACGCGTATAGAATAAAGCCATTTCCTATTGGGAAACACGTTCTTTAACCGTCTCTTATCTTAAGACTCGTGCAAAAATTGTTCGCGAAGAAAGAGGGTTATTTTTCACCAGTTATTTATGATGTTTTTAACGAGTTTATTAGTCTTTATTTATTTCTAAATTTCATCCAGCACAAGACTCAAGAGCCACTCAAGCTAGAAGATTTGAAGATAAAAAAAAAATAGCACTGATTAATGAAGCGTGTAATATGACTTGAAAAAAAAAGTTGGTACAAAGTGAAGAAAGGAATATAGAGGAAAGATGACGATTGACCCTTGACTTAAAGTGGTTATGATTGTGGTATTCAGGGGAGCACCTATGCAGGAGCCTGTTCCATAAAGAGACATTTTTTTTTTTGTGAAAACATCTCTGAGTGGAACTATCTTCTTACATTCCGAACACGGGGTAAATGAACGTGATTCAATTTCGTAGGAAGTGGTTTGTTGAGTAAATGTCTGAACTGGTGGAACTAAAGAATAGACCTTATCTGAACATTTGCCATGCGAATAGCAACAGACTGGCAACGTTGTGCCTGTGGTAAAGATTGTAAAGTAAATCTTTCTACACAAGACATTCGTTTTATACTATGCGTGTCCCCTCGGAAGTTGGCAATCATGGCTCTCCACAACTTTCTATCCTTCGGAGCTCAAAGCTATGTTTACTTTTTCATTCTATTTTCCTTAAAACTTACTAGTTGTTCACTTGTATCACCTATAGTATTCTCATCATCCTTCTGTAGAACCATACATTTGTTGTATCATAAATATGCTTAAACATATACTGCCATATAGTAGGAATTATATTACATAGTAGTTGAGCACTGTGTTTGTTATGAAATATTCCTGTTTCTTGATACTTTGTTCAGTTCTTGGAAGGCATCTTTTGCTATTCGATTTTGAACACTATCAATCCTGAAAAATGAGGATTGAGCCGTTCCAGTCCAAATATAGCAGTAATATTTAAATTTTTGGCCTAATCTGGCTCTTGTAAGGGTAAATCATGGCGAGGGGTCTCAATTATTTCCTGAAGCGATAGGTTGAACCGATCATTTCCCCAGTATCTTCAGCAATGGATTATATATATATATATATATATATATATATATATATATATATATATATATATATATATGTGTGTGCGTGTGTGGGGATTCGGGATGAAATCCGGTACCAATAAATAACAAACGCCAAGAAGGAATATAGGAAAATTAATGTAATAATACAAACTTCAGCAAATGATCGGTTCAACCTATCGCTTCAGTAAATAATTGAGACCCTTCGCCATGATTTATCCTTACAAGAGCCAGATAGGGCCAAAAATTTAAGGGTATTCAGGATAGTACTTCACTTAAACCGGATGCTTCCATATGTTATCGAACCCAACCAAACCTGCTATTTAATACTATCAATACATATTCATGCCTTTCCCAAGAGCATTAGTACAAGAGTAATCGCAAAAGATTTGTTCGGAGTTTGAAATCAAATCACAGATTCCACTGTCCGCGTCGAGACTTACACATCCTTTGTGTAAATGGAAGTATTACATGAAAAAAAATGTTCCCCCATTTTTTTTCCTTTTATATTTTGTTCCGTACTGATGGCTTAATCTTCCTGTGTATTAATTTGTGTCAACGTTTTTTGTCAACGTTTTTTGTCAACGTTTTTTGTCAACGTTTTTTGTCAACGTTTTTTGTCAACGTTTTTTGTCAACGTTTTTTGTCAACGTTTTTTGTCAACGTTTTTTGTCAACGTTTTTTGTCAACGTTTTTTGTCAACGTTTTTTGTCAACGTTTTTTGTCAACGTTTTTTGTCAACGTTTTTTGTCAACGTTTTTTGTCAACGTTTTTTGTCAACGTCTCTAGGACTACCTACCGATGCAGATGATACAACAGTGTGCAGCTCTAAACATTTTGATGATCAGAGCCTGACAGCAGCTGATCTCTACTCTGACCGAGCTCTAATAGCACAGTTTGGTGGTGGTGGTGGTGGTGGTGGTGGTGTGTGTGTAGGGGGTGGGGGCCGTGACACTTAATACTTCCAAAACCAAGCTAGTAACGTTTCATCAACATCGAGCAGACCTTGAACTTTCACCTTCATGGTGAACAGTTCTATTCTCAAGAAAAAGTTACCGAAAGATTCGTCACCTGATGTGACCGTTTTCAGAAAGAATTCTATGGTGTTTATAAGATGATCATACTCGACACACCCTCTTTTCGCCCACTGAGCGGTAGAGTAATGGGTAGCTGCTCGGATTGAGAGATTGGAGAACCGTGTTCGAATTCCAGTAGATTTTATGAAATTTATCAAGTTATTTTCGAATGAAGCATGTACATTTGCACCTAAATGTAAGTATTCGGGAAATTTTTAATGCAAAACTGATCCTAATCTGTAAATTATCCATTTTCGCTGCTATTTAAAATTAAAATGCAAATTGGAGCCTTTTTTTCCGATTATGGTAGTTCGTAAGTTCGACGTAATACTCTCAAAGACACAAGCTTATTATAAAAAGAAAGAAAGAAAAAAAACTTATTTTTCTTTCTCTCTTTCCCCAGCTTTTCATCATTCTATCTCATTCTCTCCTATTTCCCCTCTCTCTATCTCAGTACTGACTTTTTTTTTCTTTTTTGTGACAGAGACAGTGGAGAAAGATAAGGTACTGTGAGTTGAACTGTTAAAACATCTCACTGAAAATATACAAATGTATTTATTTAGCTATGAATCGTGAATTGTATTTAGAGAAAACATTTTTTTTGTGTGCAAATGCATGACAGGACCAGATGAAAGAGACGCTAGTAAAAAAACGCTAAACCATCTATCAATGTAAATCGCGTATTATCTCATTCATCAACAAATGTTTACTGGAAAATTCTGTGCTTAGACTACTACTAACCCCCGAAAACCCATAATTGGCCCTAATTTTCCTGTCAAACGATTCAGCAAAACAGTAAATACATCAACTCCTGTCATGCATAAGCAGCATTTCTTTATTTTATTTTACTTTTTCGTTTTAAGAAAATTCAGTTTGTCGGAAATGTTTTTTCGTATGTTGTATTGTAATCTTTTAAAACTTTTTTTTTTTTCAGCGGAGATGCGTTGGAGGTTAATTATTATGGAAATGTAATAATTTGCGACTTAAACATTTTTTTCGAGTAAAATTGTTGAGCAATTGTTTTTTAAAAGTTCGTTACCTTTCAAAGTCGACACGATGTATTTGTGCGCCTTTTAAATCCATGCATGTTTTTGTAGTCGGCCCGTTTTTTTTTTTTTTTTTTTTTTTTTTTTAAATCACCGTTATTCGTTTACGACACCTTTCAAATTTTTCTGAGTGAACGTTCCTTTATGCTTAGTCGTCCTTTAACGAGTTCTAAATATCCAGAAATTCAGAATCCTTCGCCGTTCCATTAGATGTTGGACTTTTAATTAATAATTTTTTCCTTCAGTCTGGGTTCTTCAAAGACTTGTCCCAATTGTTGAAGGCTATCAATTATCAATTCTTTTTTTTTTTTTTTCGTATAGTTCTTTCTACCTCGTCGCCATTGTTGAAACTTGACTAATGCATGGAATAATAATGCAACACAAAATGTACTTAGAACAAAATGTATTGAAACAAGAAAGTGTACACAATATTTACATATAGTCTTTTGTATATTCCTGGTAAGACCGTTCCTGGAGAATGTGTTGACTGAGTCGCAGTCGGGCAGAGTCTCTGGTTGAATCTCTTGATTCCTTCCTCTCTTCCCGGTACCAACCATATTTACATGGTCGGTACTCCACTATGCAAATTAGGTGGATCCTACCACAACAAAAATATTGATGACTCATTACAAAAAGAATAGCATTTTCACAGATTTAAAAACAAACAACAAACAACTGAAAAGTAAATAATTAATTAATAGGTACTGAAATTTTCATTTAATAATTAATTTAATGGATAATCTCATTTAATAAATAATTTAATCGATAATTCCCTGAGTTTCGGTAATTAAAAAAAATCTCTGCCCCCCCCCATCCTTCGAGGGTTTTTTGGCCCCCACGTTGATAAACTTTGAAATAGACATGTAGTAGAGAGGGGGTGCTCTGTATCAAAGTTTCGGTTCAGACCCTTACGCCGGACCTGCATGTGGAATAAGAACAATCTATCCCCATGTGTTCGGTTTAAAATTCCAAAATATATCACCTGAAGAAGGACAGTGTACAACGGCCGAAACGTCGTGAATATGACAATAAAGTTAAGGACAACAGTCTGAACCATGTATTAGGTTGGTGCAAAAATAATGACGTAATAATGTCGTTTTTTGACGTATTTTTTAACGTCAAAAAACGACATTATTACATCATTATTTTTGCACCAACTTAATAAGTAGTGTAATTGGTAGAACTATTTACAAGAATCTAAACAAAATATTGATAGTTATACACGTCCCTCGTCCACAATCCTTAATTGTGACATCAGTTAACTGGACGAAGTTAATGCTGGACTACGTATTTTAAACAACCACACACTCATTCAAACACATCAACAAATACGAAAAGAACAACAGGTGACCAGAAATGATGTCCAGAACAGTCACCTCTGATCATCTAACGGGAATTAAACTAAAGAAAGTGGGTACAATGTGCATACAATGGAGAAAATGAGGATACATCCCCCTCGCAATGTTAACTTTCAAAGAGAAAACTAAAGACAAAACAACCCTAAACTAACCTAATTTAAAAAAAAAAACCCTCTGCCCTTCTCCCACCCATTTCTCCTTCGAGGGTTTGTGCCCACCACGTTAGTAAACTTTGAAATTGACATGTAGTAGAGAGGGGTGCCCCGTATCAAAATTTCGTGTCAAACCCTAGCACCGGACCTGCACGTGGAATAGGAACAATCTACCCACGTGGACTAAATAGTGGGTACGGTTCGAAATTCCAACGTATATCACCTAAAAAAGGTTGGATCTTAGGAATATAGACAAATAAAAAAAAATGTATTATTGCCATATCTAGACTGGAGCTACACAATATCCTCTTTTTATGTTTAATAATATTCAGATAGCTTCTTCTCAAAGTTTAATTCAAACAGGTTCCTCTTCACGTCTAGACTCTACCGCAAGGATGGCCAACCTGTGGCGAATGCGCAATAAGCGGCGCATTGGATGCTTACAAGTGGCGCCTTGCATCCTTTTTGATGAAAAGAAACTAAGCCACTTCTATTCATTCATTTCAGTGATTTTATATTTATTGCACGTTCTTTTGCGAAAGTGCTAAAAATTTGAATTGTGTTTGTCCCAAAGATATGTTTGTCTCTTTGGAACTACGTACAGATGCGAGCAGTCATTTTCTTCCATGAAAAATGATCGAAAGCAAACTGAGGTGCGCGACTGTCCGATTCCAACTTGAAGAATTCTTTGTTGCTTTCAGTTACGAATTTTAACTCCTAATATTGCAGGTTTGGCAAAAACAAATCAGAATCAAAAGACACATTAAAGTTATTTATGTTTATTTTGCCGATGTAAACATAAACTCTGCCATGCCCCCCCCACTCTGCAAAAACTGAAGAGAAAAAATGTCAAAAGCATTGATTGATGGCCCCTTTTCAAAACTCCTGTATAGGCCCCTGGTCATAAGCATATATTTTTCAAATAAATAGATTTTATTATACCTTTAGAATATGTCCATATTAAAACACGTACTGAAAGGAAGTAAATGTTTGTGTGGCGTATTTAAATTAATCATACAAAATATTGGCGCATGGAATCAAAAGGTTGGCCACCCCTGCTCTGCCGTTATATTTCCGACATATCCTCATAATGCATTTCTTACCTACTCTTACTTCCCGTATGATCACCGAAGTTAAGCAACGTCAAGCCTGGTCAGTAGCTGGATAGGTGAATGCTTGGGAATACCAGGTGCAGTAAGATATGCGGGTGGGGTAACGGATTTTTATAAATTTTATTCGGTCGTGCTAGCTCGGACATTCACGAGTCTATTACGCCAGACATTACGGCCTTGAAATCAAGGTCGGAAGGTCATTAGAGCGGCATCCTTTGCTGGAATTCGAAGACCCAAGTTCCAATTTTCGCTCGGTGATTTATATTCACCCATGTGCAAATGCCCTTGGGAAAGGTACTTAGTCCCCATCTTGTCCACCTAGTTAGTAAAGGTTAATTAGTAAGACTTGTATCACTAAACCATTATTATCTCTAAAAATATTTTCTGGCTTTAAATAACCTGCAAAGAGTTGCGTAGGAATATTATTATTAATATGAATAAAAATAAAACATAAAATAATAATAATAATGGAAATTATAAATAAAAATAATATAAGACAATAACATAAAAAATAAATTAAATAAAATCAAAAACAATAAAAAATACTCCCAGCATGCAACAAAAACTGTCCCTACCGGAAATACGAACATCCCGCCAAAATACGTCAAAATTCAATCTCTTCAACACGAACCTTGGTATGGGCAACACGTGTCCGACTTCTCTCTGTCATATGGCGTATAATAACACGTAGTAATTTTCCCCTTTTATCACATCTACCATAAAACAGTTGTAACCTAAAAAAATATACATGAAAATATAAATAAATTGTATGAAATTAACATACAATTTACCATGTTTTCCTATTATTTGTCTACGTTTTATTTCCTTCTATGTATGCTTTGTATATGGCCATGAACAAATGGCCAATTTCTGCTACTATGATGTGAGTGAAAAGCCGCAGTGAACGAATCAACCAATCAAAAATGACCTCTTCTTGAGTTCATACAACAGTAACATTCTACCTTGAGTCGCTCTTGGGTCTTGTATAAGGAGAACAATAGTAAAGAAATAAGTGAAGCCCGTGCTACATAAAGTCGCATTTTTTTTGTTTTATTTTTTAGTAAAATGCAAGAAATGATGATGTTTAAGGGCCAATGAAAAACTGATCTTTTTTTGATGTTTGCATAAGCGAACTTTAGACATGGCACAAGGCCGAAAGTATAGGGTAGCCAGTGAGGATCGAACTCACTATTCAGTCGTAACTGATCTAGCGAGACAAGCTAGCTAACCATTACACCACGTCGAAGTGCCCAAATGGTCTAACATTTAAGACATGAGGATTTTGGACGATTTCCTCAAAGATGAAGAAGAGACTCGAGGCGACGTAGATGTGGTTCTACAGAAGGATGCTAAGGATATCATGGACTGAGCGTGTGAGCAACGATGAGGTCGTAGATAAGTTGCAAACAAGGAGGAGGCTTATACTTAACATCAGGAAGAGACAGCTGAAGTTTCTGGGACACATAATGAGGAAGGAGAGCATGGGGAATCTGATACTCACGGGTCGAATAGAGGGAAAGAGAGACAAGGGAAAACAACACGTGACATATCTGGTGGGGTTAAGCAAGTGGATGACAGAACATGGTCTTGGGGAGGAAGCAGAGAGAAGGAACTTGTTAAGAGCTGCAAGGGATAGAAGGAGATGGAGAGCCATGATCGCCTACGTCCTGAAAGGACATGACATATAAAAAAAAAGAAAAGAAATCTAAAGTACTCTCGAACACCTATCCTAATCTGTCCTTCCTCGTGTATAAACAATTTCAACCTTTTACTTTTCATTCACAATATCTTTTATTTTTAATCAACTTGTACGTCCATTCATTGCCTTTTTTCCCCCGAAACATAGCTCAAAATATATCTTCCAGGCTTTACATGCAAAGTTTCGGTATGTCGTAAATCAATGTTTATCCAGACACTGCAGACAACAGGTACTTGTACGTAGGCTAAATAAATGCAAATAAGGAGGTCATATGTACCATCCTAAATACCCTATCTATCTATCTATCTATCTATCTATCTATCTATCTATCTATCTATCTATCTATCTATCTGTCGGGCTGTTGATTTTTTTTTCTTCTTTCTAGTTTGTTCAATCCATTTCCCATTCTCTCTTTGTCTTTGACTATCCATCTGTTTGTCCATATTTGTATATTCAATTAGTTCGTACGATACTTTGGTGAAAACTTCTCGGCCCAACCAAGACGTCCCTTTTTTTTATTTTTCATGTGTGTCCGGTGGGGAGAAGAAGTGCTTCTTGAGCCTGCCTCCGTGCGCGCGCATGCGCGAGCACACACAGACACAATTTTCTCTCTCTCTCTCTCACACACACACTCTCTCTCTCTCACACACACACAGACAGACAATTTCCAGAAAATTTTATTAAAAAATGTTTTCTAATGTGTGTCTCTAAAACAAAATTAAAAAATGGACGCTGTGAATTTTTGCATACACCAAATAAACTTAACTACTACCTATGCCATGATAAAGTCCCTCAGAGTATGAAACGAGTTGGCTAAGAATAGAATTTCCTCTTGTCTTTTTGCACCCTATATATATATATATATATATATATATATATATGTAACCCGGATATAAGAGAGTTGTCGGGACCGGAGAAGAAGTCTCAAGAAGTCTCTTTTATCCGGGTTTTTATATCCGGGTTTGGTCTATTTTATATACATTAACACAGGCTCTAATTTGGGACCAGAGAAAATCTCTCTTATATCCGGGTTTCTCTTATATCCGGGTTACACTGTATATATATATATATATATATATATATATAGAGAGAGAGAGAGAGAGAGACAGACAGACAGACAGACAGACAGACAGAGGGATGGAGAGTGGAGGAGGAAGAGCGAAAGTGCTCTACCGTTTATCAGGAGCTAAATATGATGAAAATATAGTGTTATGGCATGCTATATTTATGGGTAAATTTGTTCAATATCAGAAAGAGACGGAGACAGAGACGGAGAAGGAGAGATAGTGTATGTAAATATACATATAAAATGGTTCATTGAGGTCAACATCAAACAGCGATATTTATACGAGAGGAATAGTGCTCACTATCGGGAATAGAGCATTAATATACATATATATATATATATATATATATATATATATATATATATATATATATATTACGATAAACGTGCAATCAATTTACAAATACAAATTTTGCGCGCTCCAAAAACAGTAACTCATTTTCAATAGCATTTTCGGATACAACAATACATATATTTTCGTTGTCCTTTTATTACTAAGAGAAAAAACAAGAACAACATCTATTCCATACCTGAAGATGTCTGTAGGAACAGACGAAAGCTTGTAGTAAAAATAAGAACTAATACGGCAGAAATTTATATAAACAAGGATCATTTCATTCATAACGGATACGGAGGTTTTTGTATATTATTTGAATTGTTTGCGATGATGGATGTCTCGCCATTTAAATCATTAACCTTTGCATTAGTTTTTGTGTGAACAATTCATGTATATATATATATATTGACAATGTGGACATAGGAATCAGCAGTGAATAGTGACTTTTAGTTTCACCGCTTCAATGCGATTTTCAAATTATATATATATATATATATATATATATATATATATAATGATAAAAATATACTTTTAAGTTATGGTATATTTATGGATTAAAGGGCTCTATATCAAGGATTGAGCGCATGTATACACAACACAAAATATAAATGTGAACACTAACACCCAGCGAATTTTAACCCCCGAATATTGCGCCCAAGTAATTTTATGCTGAATGAAAGTGAATCAGAAGCCGATCTATCTCAAACTTTAGTGGTTAGAATGAAATTCAAATTAAGATTTTCTTTTGCTGGATCAGGAATTGAACCTTAAAAGAAATATTACCATGTCTTGTGTAAGAAAAGAACGTCGACTGCTTTGTCATAATAAAGTAAATTTGGATTCACATTTATACTTGCGACCGTTTCCGGTTTAATCAGCTAATACTGTCAATCTGTTTGCTGTAGGATTGAATGTCCTGAGAAAAAACTTGTCTTAATGCTGGGAAAACAGGTTGGTAAATGTTAGTTGTACAGCCAAGAGAACCTCTGACCCTTCGGTTTAGTGATGTCGGTGTTACGAGACAGAAGGTTGTTCGAAGACCTGAATTTGGGTTTAAACAAACGAAGCGTTGATAAAACAATAGTGTGGACAAAAGCCAGTGCAAATAGAGACAAGCACCAGGTCGGTCGGTTTGTAGGTTGGGGGGGGGTAGGATGGGTCGCAGGTCAGAGATCGAGGACTGAAGAAAACAGAGACACAAACGTCTGGAGGAAGGGGCTGGAATATGCGGTTAAATGACAAATGTCCAGTGGTAAAACTCCGTGATCACAGCGGTAAATTTATTGGCTTTGTTTTATTAAGATAATGCTTGCGTCTACAGCAAGAATCGGCCGATTGATCTGTAAAGATATTGACAAGAACAGGCATGTGACATATTTATAAAACGTCGATAATTTCTTTTTATAAAGATAAAATATCTTTTTAGAACGTAGGCAATAATGGCTCTCCAGAGTTTTTCGTTATTATCTGTAAATTGTCATGATGCTTACGTGCTCGGCAATAGGGCAGGAACTGTTCACACTATCTGTAAATAGATACTTATGCACATTTGTACTGGATCGGTACTTTTTCAAAGATCGTGTGTCCCTCAGGACGTAGGCGATCATGGATCTCTACATTCTTTCTTTGTTAACCCGTGAATTATTTTGACTTCTTTAGAAAGATTGTGACATGGCCTCCCGTTGTTTTCTCCATAGTTTCGAATTCAAAATTTTTCTTCTCTTTCACTATTTGTCACCCAAGACTAAAGCTCACAGACTACTCTTCTATTTAACCCATATTTAGGGAACGTGGGAGAAGAAATAAATTTATGCCATTCCCTAAAGATCCTTAGTGTGAAGAGAGGAAAACAGTCGAGATTTATGTGAACAAAATAAGAGCGAAGACATTTCCAACCAAAGTGTTATTCGGATGGAAACTGTTTTGATAAACTTTGTTTCTAAGCCTGATTATGACAACGTTCTGTTTGGTTCAGGGTAATGAAAAGGAAATGTTCTGGAAAAACAAGTATTGAGAAGAGATCGCCTCTGGATTATTTTCAACCAATCAGAAGAACGGAATTTGAAACCTACGTCAGTTTGAAAAGTGGCTTAAATCCTACCTGCTTAAATATAAGGGAAACAACCATCTAGTTTAATTACCATGTATTCACAACTCGATTTAGTTCGATAGTCAGGACAGAAGGATCAGGAAATCGTTAGCATTTGAACAATGAGAAGAGGATATTAGGCTCAGAGATATCACATGTTCAACCAACGACTCCAAACATCACACAAAAACTTAATAAAAGTGTTTGAATTTTGTCATCTGAAAGTAATCTCGACAAAATCTTCCTTGAGGACACTATTCACTCGGCAACTCATTCTACAACAGGCATTTCTTCTACTATGTTGAACTAGCAACTCCGAATTGTACGGACAATTCACAGCACTTTGTGAAATTCACTATCTCTTCTGCCAAGGACTTTTTTTATTTTAACAACTGATGTAAGTTCCCACCTTCTTATGAACATTTTTCTTAACTAGCTTTATTTTCATTAGGCCTTCAAATGAATATTTTGAGAAATCCTCTATAACCCTTCTTCTTTTCATAGGTATTGTAAACACATTTTTCTGTTTCCAATTTCAGACTAGTCAGTCAGTCATGTGCCATGCGTGATAAACGCTTAGGCAATCATGTATCTTTCGATACATGACTGACGAGGTAGATTTTTCCCGCAGTAGGTTGTCATTTCTTTCTGCGGTAGACCAGTTACCATCCAAGGCTATAGAACCCAGCCTGTCCTGCTATTTACCCATAGCTGGGAGGGGGAGAAGAAGAGGATTCATACCTTTCCCAAGGGTATTAGCACGTAAGTGAATGTAATGGATTCGACTGGAATTCGAACTCGGCATATATACAAAGAATCAGTCAGTTATGTGTCATGCGTGATACACGCTTAGGCGATCATGTATCTTTCGATACATGACTGACGAGGCAGATTTTTCTTTCCCACGGTAGGTTGCCATTTCTTTCTGCGGTAGGTCAGTTGCCATCCATGGCTATAGAACCCGGTCAGTTCTGCTATTTACCCATAGCTAGAGGGGGAAAAGATGATTCATAACTTTCCCAAGGGTATTCTAACTTTGAGTCCTTTTTTACTTTACTTAACTAATCCACTCTTAGGCAACACTTCAAATGATGAAATGTTTGCAAAATGCAAAATCGAAGGCGTCGAGACCTTTCTTATGCATTCTCAATTGTAATGGGTATATATCATCAGAATGAGCGATAACCGATTGCCAAAAGTCCTCATATAAAGCCAGCCACAGAATAGCAAGAGAAACATGAACAAACCACGGCTTTTGCTCAAAGATAAGCAGAAGAGAAATCTTGAATCTGCTGGAATGCTACATAAGTCCTCTGAACAGAGATGACCTCGGAAAACAATGGTGTCAAAGCATTAAAACGTAGACGCCGCCAACATTTAAGGAAGACAAAAATAAAGGACTAAAAGTTTCTATTTGACTGAATATCCATCGACTAATCTATAAGCTGCTGGATACTCATACGTTAAAACAGACGGAATATATATTTGTAGATGGGAAAATCGTCATAAAAGGTGGAATTTGGACTCCTCTTGCTGATAACCGTTACGGCATCTACACATCTAACTGCTTTGGTCTACAGATTTCCAAGTGGAAATAGCATTCCCGAAAAAAGAAAAAAAATGAAACGGAAAATTATGAACAATCTGAGATAGTTACAAGAGGGTGCTAATAATATTTTGGTTTTGAGCCATATCCCAAAATCGGACCAAATGGGCAAACACCAGAATCTATTTTGGAATACCTTCTTGGTCGGACTGGGAACTTTTTAGAACACCTTGTAGATAGATAGATAGATAGATAGATAGATAGATAGATAGATAGATAGATATGCATTGATCGAGATAGATAGATAGATAGATAGATAGATAGATTATGAATAGACTGAGACAGACAGACAGATATGTGGATCGAACATTATACAGTGAAAACTTCAGATCAAAATTCAGCTAATAACCGCGGACATATTCGTCTGATTGAGTTGTAGGAATAGAAAATTTGGTCAGGTTTTTTGTTTCTTGATATTAGTAGTTCGCGAAAGAACGAACGAACGAACGAACGAACGAACGAAAGAAAGAAAGAAAGAAAGAAAGAAAGAAATGTAGGAGCTTAAAGAAACAAGCATATATGGAGAAGGTGGCTAAGAAAGAAAGAAAGAAAAAAAGAAAGAAAGAAAGAAAGAAAGAAAGAAAGAAAGAAATGTAGGAGCTTAAAGAAACAAGCATATATGGAGAAGGAGGCCAAGAAAGAAAGAAAGAAAGAAAGAAAGAAAGAAAGAAAGAAAGAAAGAAAGAAAGAAATGTAGGAGCTTAAAGAAACAAGCATATATGGAGAAGGTGGCTAAGAAAGAAAGAAAGAAAGAAAGAAAGAAAGAAAGTAAGAAAGAAAGAAAGAAAGAAATGTAGGAACTTAAAGAAACAAGCATATATGGAGAAGGAGGCTAAGAAAGAAAAAAAGAAAGAAAGTAAGAAAGAAAGAAAGAAAGAAATGTAGGAGCTTAAAGAAACAAGCATATATGGAGAAGGAGGCCAAGAAAGAAAGAAAGAAAGAAAGAAAGAAAGAAATGTAGGAGCTTAAAGAAACAAGCATATATGGAGAAGGTGAAAAAAAAGAAAGAAAGAAAGAAAGAAAAAAAAGAAAGAAAAGAAAGAAAGAAAAGAAAGAAATGTAGGAACTTAAAGAAACAAGCATATATGGAGAAGGAGGCTAAGAAAAAAAAAAAAAAGAAAGAAAAGAAAGAAAGAAAGAAAGAAAGAAATGTAGGAGCTTAAAGAAACAAGAATATATGGAGAAGGAGGCTAAGAAAGAAAGAAAGAAAGAAAGAAAGAAAGAAAGAAAGAAAGAAAGAAAGAAAGAAAGAAATGTAGGAGCTTAAAGAAAGAAGCATATATGGAGAAGGAGGCTAAGAAAGAAAGAAAGAAAGAAAGAAAGAAAGAAAGAAAGAAAGAAAGAAAGAAAAAAAAAAATGAATAAATAAATAGATAAATAAAAAGGAGTAAAAATATAAAAATCCTTTTTGCACACGGACACGGAAAAACCAATGCAAGGCGTTTTTCTTTCTTTCCTTTTTAAACTTAACATAAATAAAGATTAGCATAAATGTAATGTTTTCTTTCACAGGTATTGAAATATAGTCATGATTTTGGTCATATCTTTGTAATGCAATGGGAGGCAAAGTTTAAGCTTCGGATCACCTTTTCTCAGTCTTAACGCCTTTCTAATTCGATACTGATGAGCACACTATATATATATATATATATATATATATATATATATATATATATATATATATATATAGAGAGAGAGAGAGAGATAGATAGATAGATAGATAGATAGATAGATAGATAGATAGATAGATAGATAGATGGTGATAGAGGGAGAGAGAGACGGGGAGAAAAAGGTGAAAATATTGAGGTATGACGAACAGAGATAGATTAATAAATGTAAAATGATAGATAAGAAAAGAATGAAAGCGATAGATAGATAGATAGATAGATAGATAGATAGATAGATAGATAGATAGATAGATAGATAGATAGATCAGTGAAATGAAGAAACAAAGATATGATGCAGAAACAGTAACTGATAAATGTAAAATTATATAGAGCGGTAGATCGATAGGTAGATATGAACAAAGATATATAGAAGGATATGGACATAGATAGATAGATAGATAGATAGATAGATAGATAGATAGATAGATAGATAGATAGATAGATAGACGAACAAACATAAAAAGATCGATTTATGTTGCCTATGACAATGCACATGAGAACTTAAATGTGCCCATATATTTGTGTACATATATAAATTTGAAATTATATAGAATGATAGATTGATCGATAGATAGATATGAACAAAGATTGATATATAGAAATATATGGACATAGATAGATAGATAGATAGATAGATAGATAGATAGACAGGCGAAAAAACACAGATAGATATATATATATATATATATATATGTGTGTGTGTGTGTGTGTATGTATATATCGATTTCTTATGTTGCCTATGACAATTCACGTGAGAACTTAAATGTGCCTATATATATGTGCATATATGTAAATTATTGAGGGATGAAGAGACTGATATATGATGTGGCAACAGATTATGAGATTATAAATTAGATAGATAGATAGATAGATAGATAGATAGATAGATAGATAGATAGATATGAAAAGACTGAGATTAATAGATATCAAAAGACTCCTATATAAAGAGAGTGGGAATCAGGCAGGTATAAAGACAGCTCTAATGAAGGGGTTTGTTTGCAGAATTGGTATATTGGAGACATATTTTTTGCTTGATGAAATTTATTCGTTTGAGTGCCTATGTGTGTGAAAGAGAGTGTAGGGGCAAAGTGAGAAAGAGAGAGAGAGAGAGAGAGAATTATCGTTTTCTCATAGACAAAATGCCGTACTCTTTTTGAAGTGGGTAAGAATTCTTGTACATTTCAGGAACGATAAAAGCAAAGGAGAAACGAAAAGCCAAAAGCAGCCATTGAAGTGTTGGCGGCGGGTGGATGCTGGAGAAGGGCCTGGAGATATGTGAAGCGAGACGAATGTTATCTTCGCGCCAAAACCTAGCCGTTCGGCCCGGCTTCGTCAGCCCAATTCCTCTCGCCGGATACGTTCCAACCCGACGCATCCACTAACGTCGCTTTTAGCCTTCGCTTCCCGACCTCACCACCTTTTGTTTTGTTTTTTCTATCGTTCGTTCTTTTCTTTCAGATTATTTTTTTCTCAGAAAAAAAGGTCCAGATTAGAAGTGACAGCAGGCAACGATAGCGAATTCCGAGCTTTTTGGTGTTCTCCCTGTGAAATCGTCCACAGAATGGACGATACGTCGATTCGCTATTTTGAATTTTTGCAAGGCGACAAAATATGTCTGGATGTAGGCAAGAATGGATGTTCTTGTTTCGAGTAAAGATGTGGATATTTAAGATAACATTCGCGCACACAAGCATATGTATGTATGTATGTATATATGTATATATATATATATATATATATATATATATATATATATATATATAGTTTTCAGGTGTGCAATATTTATGGGATAAAGTGCTCAATATTAGAGATAGAGCCTATGTAAATATAAAAGTGAATATTGAAGTCAACATTCAGAGGCGACAGACTTTGCATTTCACATTTTCTTCCTGGAGGGTTTTATCGGGTATTCAATATTAATGATAATAATAATGAAATTAATTCATTACTATATAAAATTTCGTTTACGAAAAAGAAATGGACACCATATAACAATGGTTTGAATAGTTCCAGCCTCCTAGCTTAGGAAGCGTTAATTAAAACAAAGACCGTATGAACTTCGACTATATGTACCCAGGTGTTTGGCCAATACATATATATATATATATATATATATATATATATATATATATATATATATATATATATATAGAGAGAGAGAGAGAGAGAGAGATACATATACTTCCATATAACGTTAACACAGGTAAACATATATATATATATATATATATATATATATATATATATATATCAAATAATACAGGAAGCCAAGTTAGAGATAGATAGATAGATAGATAGATAGATAGATAGATAGAAATCGAAATTTATAGATATGAACAGACTGATATATATATATATATATATATATATATATATATATATATATATATATATATATATATATATATATATATATATATAGCAGTATAACTCGTCTTTGACCGGGTCTTTCGTTACTGGGAATTTTTGCCGTTCTATTGGAGCAGTTTAAGTTTAAAGTCAGCCCACCCGAAAATCCATATTATTAGTAACAACATTTGGGTGCAACTGAGGCACATCCCCAAATGGGGTGGGGAGGGGACAATTTGAATGCGGAGGTGTTCCTGAAAAGGGAACTGTATAATAATAAATGATATTATTGTAATCATTTAAATTATTTATTTTTATTAAAGTTTTTATTTAAGATATATATCCTAGAACAGATAGTAAAATAATAAAACGCTGCTGAGAGTTATAATGGACAGGATGTTGTGGAGAGCCATTGTCGCCAACAATTTGGACAAAACCCGGCACTGAAGAATTATCAAACAAAAAGAATTCATCAAAATCGGATGAAAAATTCATAAACAACATCCGATCACACACACACACACACACACCATACACACACACACATTTTGTGAATTATATATATATATATATATATATATATATATATATATATATATATAGAAATATAGTTTTAAGGTGTGCTATATGTATGGGATAAAGTACTCAATATCTGAGATAGAGTATGTAAATATAAAAGTGAACATTGAAGTCGACACTCAGAGGCGACAGGCTGTTTCATGCTGGATACAATAGTCAGGCCTGACGATTGCGTCTAGCATCAAACAGCCTGTTGCCTCTGAGTGTTGACTTCAATGTTCACTTTTAAATTTATATATACACACGCTCTATCTCTGATATTGAGCACTTTATCCCATAAATATAGCATGCCTTAAAAAACTATATTTCTTCATCTTTATATATATATATATATATATATATATATATATATATATGTATAAAAGGGAACATTGAAGTGAAAAAATCAGAGTTTAGAGACTGTTTCTTTCCACATTCTCTTCCTGGAGGCTTTTATCTGATATTTAATAATAATGATGATAATAATGAAATTCATTCATTGCTGTATAAAGTTTTATTTTAGGTTAACTTCCTTTCTAAAAAGAAATGGACACTATATAACAATGGTTTAAATAGTTTCAGCTTCCTAGTTTAGGAGGAGTTAATTAAAACTAAGACGGTATGAACTTTGAATATATGAACCCAGGTGTTTGGCCTATATATATATATATATATATATATATATATATATATATATAGAGAGAGAGAGAGAGATAGTTAGTTTATGAAAAACTAGGTAATCCGTATGGGGAAACCCAAGGAGGATAAAATCCAGAGAGCTCAATGTAAATACAGAGCAGATAATTTAAATAAAAACAGACCACTTTAAGGTTCCATGTAATAAATTATTATAGAATTAGAAGTTTTGCATATTTAATTTTATTTTTAGATTTTTTCCAGTTGATGTATAAGCAGTCGAACTTACGAAGAAAGTATCCAGAATTTTTAATTCAAATATTTGTCTTCGTGACGTCATGTGTAAAACGGTTGAACCTTTAAATGTTTGATTTACACAAGATATCACTTTGGATTAATTTGAATCCCAGCGTTCCAAGAAAGGCTAGGATATTTTCTAACAAAATCTTGTCTATCACTGACGTCGCCGTAATTATCACACTGACAATACTTGGCTCTTTTTAATGAATGGAACAGCCGAGATTACTTAAACAAAAAGAAGAGCAAAACATGAACTTCGAGCAGTATATCCACAGTATTTGAAAAGAATTCACTATCCAAAGGGCCGTGTTGACTTGAATAAAGCAGTCGACTAAATGAAATCATTGACTAAATGCACTCTGTTCACAATATTTTGACAAGTACAACTCAAGTCTTATTAAACAACTGAATCACTTTAATTTAACTCTGGTTACAACTTTATCTACCTTTAATCGTATTTAGGTTGAACTAGAGGCATGACCCAGCGTTGCCTGTTCTTGATTCAAAAATCGTACGACTCATACAGCAATCGCTATCACTTGACTTAAAATATTTTTGCCCTTCCTTGCCTTTAAAGGAGTGCCCTTTTCCGTGCTGATGTTGCTACATGCCTTACTTCTTGTCTATCTCACACTGCGAATTTTTTCGAAGCTCTATACTAAACATTAAATCGGATACGAAAAAAGAACTAAACAAAATGAATACAAAACGATCAGCTTTAAACAAAGGACTCGTAACTGGAAAAACCGAATGAAAAAAGAATGTTAACAACAAATACTTTTGCACACCCAACCCAGTTCTGCGGAATCAGAATCAACGTTGAGTTTAAACAAGCGAATGAGCCAATTGGAGTAAAGTGCCATGCAGATTTAAACTTTTCCCACTTGTGACGAATGCAGCTATCGATTTTTTGTTGCATGCTAGCATGCTAGTTAACATTCGTGTCAGTCAGGTGTTGGTTCTCACGCTGGCCAATAGAATCTTCCTGCCTATTCGTGGCAGCCAGCTATAGGATCTCATTCTGGCTAGTACAAAATAGCTGCAAACTACATGAAAACTGCTGTAGAAGCATGAAAAATCGATTATTTCCACTATCGATGGGAGTTGAGAAATGCAAAGTCGGTCTTGGGTTTCCCGCTAACTTGGAGCATGTGCATGTAAATTTTGGTGCAAATTCGTCGAAAATTGCGGCCGTGCATTCGTTACACACACACACACACACACACACACACACACACACACATCCTCCCTTTTATAGATAGAGATATAATTGCTTATCGAAGGCGTATTTAGCACAAAAACAGACGAGGCTATCTTATTTCAATTATTAGTTTTTCTTCTTAGTTTTTCTTTGGATTCATTAATCATCAGTTCTGTACGCATGTCGTTCAATTCCACTTAGTCAACTGCTTTATTCAAAGCGTTGTCTTCATCCAGGACCGCTGCCTAGGTAAATGCTAGTGCATCCGAACTCTGTGGAGATCGAACTCATTATTCGAATAACGGTCTGCGAGTTGGATTTGCCGTCCGTCACTCTCCGACTCTGTTGAAAAGAAGAAATCGTGGAAATGAGATGGGGATGAATTTAAAAACAAAATTAAATTAAAGATAAATG